TTTTTTTTTTTTCCCAGATTCTGACTTACCGTAATATTTTTTTTTTCACATGCTCTTCTGGAGCAAGTGTATAAAGAGCCCCGGAAGAGAACTGAGCGAAGACGTTTCTTATTAGCTAACAACAAATTTTCTCAATGCAATCCCTGCTGAAAAGCACATTCTAGAGCCTCGCCCAGACAGGGTCTGACACGGGTGCTGAAGGCAACATTCCCATGGCCATCACGCCAGCTCCAAAATATAAAAGCCCAAGCAGTCAGGCCTATTTAAATTAAATATTCATCCATATACATTAAAAACAGTGGAAAGAAAAAATAAGTCAGACCACAACTAGCCAGCTGTCCAATCCAATTAACTCTCCAAGTATCCACTTGGCAAATGCATGCTCTGTGATACCAGAACGATGCACTTCCCAGCTCTCCAAAGACTTACTGCGGAGAGTCCACGGATCTGCTACATATGTTTGCTAAATCCGAGTTTATTAACAAAGTCTGTGTTTTCCTGTGGTCAGCAAAATAGTTGGGCTGTTCTGTTCCATCCCATTCACCAACAAAATGTATCCCTACAGTATCTGGCAGCGGTGGTTGATGACATATGAGAAATATAAATTGCTTTTTTGGATGCACTAGCTTTTAGTTACTGGCTTGACTGCTGAAAGTTAAGATAAATATTATTCTGATTTATAAATGCTGTTACTTTCTCTGGAGCACAGCCTGTTACCTGAATGATCAGGAATCCCGATCGAAGAATGAGATCCTCTATTTCTTCTTCTTTGTCAACAACATCTGGTTTGATGAGGGCCAGAGTTCTTTCCACAAAAATCTGAGGTTCAGGCATTAACATCTGCATCTTGGCTTCTTAAACGAGGAATTCACATGCCCCTTCGTACTGCAACGACACCAGTTTGTGATATTTGGAGTTTGTCTACAGCACAGCCATGTACAGTGACATTTACCATGTACTCTAGGAATGGAGAGGGTCACCCCCACTTCACAAAATCCACCTGAGATTTTCTCCAGACTAGTAGTCTGTAGTTCACACTCCCATTTTCAGTGCAGTAACATTTTGTGGAAAATAAGCCCACAATTAAATCATAGAATCATAAAATGGTTTGGGTTGGAAGGGATGTTAAACATCTTCTAGTTCCAGCCCCCCAGCCATGCAGGGACACCTTCCACCAGCCCAGGTTGCCCAAAGCCCCGTCCAACCCGGCCTTGAACCCTTCCAGGGAGGGGGCAGCCACAGCTTCTCTGGGCAACCTGTGCCAGGGCCTCACCACCCTCACAGCAAAGAATTTCTTCCTTACATCTAATCTCAAGCTTCCCCCTTTAACTTCCTATCTTCTCTTCCTATCCCTACACCTCGTGATAGAGTTGCTCACCACCCTTCCTGTACCCCCCTTTAAGTACTGGGAGGCCTCTCTAAGGTCTCCCTGGAGCCTTCTCTTCTCCAGCTGAACCCCCCAACTCTCAGCCTGTCCTCACAGGGGGTGCTCCAGCCCTCGAGCATCTTCATGGCCTCCTCCAGCCCCGCTCGAGCAGGTCCTTCTGATGTTGGTGCCCCCAGAGCTGGACACAGCACTGCAGGGGGGGTCTCACAAGAGAAGAGCAGAGGGGGAGAATCCCCCTCCTCGCCCTGCTGCCCACCCTGCTCTGGGTGCAGCCCAGGACACGGCTGGCTTCCCGGGCTGTGAGTGCACATTGCTGGCTCACAGTCAGTTTTCAATCCATTAATACCCTCATGTCCTTTTCCACAGGGCTGCTCTCCATCCACTCATCGCCCAGCCTGCAAGTTGTTAGTCATTCATAAAATGTAAACTATTCTACTTCTAATATTTCGCTAAATAACTCAGTGTATGAGAGTTTCATACTTTTTCCTATGAGCACGAGCAAGCCAGGCTCACTGCACTCCCACATTCTCCATCCACCAACCCTGCGTTCCAGCAAACCCAAAATCTGTATTCTCATGCATGAAGAATGTGGTGTGGGACTTAGTACTTGTATCTATCCCACCTGTAAGCCTCATTGTATTTCTCAATTGTTAGTTAATTCCGATATTTATGGACTCGAGACAAAGTGACAGTTTTCTAACTGAGCAGATCAGGCCATCAGCAAGGATACAGAATTATTCTGTGAGCAGCAGAACTACTGCAGGTGGGTTTCTGACAGACTTTTGACCACTTACGACCTTCTTTTTCCCCTTTTCTCTTTGCCTCCACGCTCACAGCCCAAGGTGTTTCTCTATCTGTAGTGGACATGACACAGGTAGGCAGCCGACTGACCAGCTCGCTGCTAAAGCCCCGTATATAATTGCTGACTTACACCTGCCTTCTTGGTTGGGATGATCTTTGCTGCACGTATTGCTTTGAGACTCCTTGCTGGCTTTAAAATATTGTTGAACAGGCCTGTGGCCTCCACCAAGGCAGCTGCCACCGCCCGCAGGGGCAGAAAGACGGAAAGGACGGCCGGGGCTGCCTCCGCCTCGGACCCAGGCTGACCGGGCACGCAGCCGGGCGCTCGGAGCAGCCCCCC